ATACTTCAAAGGCGCCAGGTACTATCTTTGAAACCTAGAAGCCAGATGACTTCTACAATGCTTTACTGATAAAAAAAAAAGTAACCATGCAGTCTCATCACAGATAATCTGTAGCTGAACTATTACCACCCAGAACACATTCACAGCAAGAAGATTATTTTGGTGAAAAACACAACAGTGCCGGTCAATTTGGCTTTTAACTGGGTCAGCTGTTGCAAGTGAGCACGGCAGATCTATGCTAACCCACAAAACTTTCTACCCTATCTTTACCCTCTGCCCCTTCCCTCCACAAATGAGGCAACAGGCTTGCTAATTAAAAGCAGCAAAAAGCAGCAGCCAGGTCTAAGAATTTGAAAACTGGTGAGGGAGAGAAGAGAGATTTTGTAATTAAATCCAAGATGTCAACAGGGCAACAACTATAGAGCTGAACAGAAAACATGGTTGGCTTGTTTGCAGATGGACTGAAGGCGAGATACATGGAAGACCAGCAGCTCAGTGAATATTGCCACTTCAGAGATTTCCATAAGAAACATGGTGTCTCTTTAGGGCAAGTCAAATGCACCTCTAGCCAGCATTCAGCATTGGTAAGCATCTGTCCAGGTCTGCCATTAAGGCCTTCCACCTCTCACCAACCCATGGGAAGGATGGAAATTAGATCTGCAGCTCTAGGTCAGCATAAGCAGCAGCCATTTCTTTAGATCCCATCACCAAGGAGGAGTGGAGGCTGCCAGGGGGACATTAGGAGAGGGAAATGGGAGCTCTGCTAAAAAGAAAAAGTGCTGGAGTCAGACCAAAAAGCTGTCTCCTTCTCAGAGTGGAACAAAGCTACATGGAGCAGTCAGAGTAAAAATTTTAGGTCATAGTAGGAATCAGACAGCTGTTGCTCCTACAGTACATTCCTGCACGAAGCCCGTAGAGTGCAGCCATCACCATGCAGGTGATGCAGTAGCTTAGCAGGTGGAGGGTGGGAAGCTGCCTGCTGAGAACTAGGTCATTGCTCCAGCCCCACCCTGAGTCAGGAACTTGCATCTTTGCTGCCAGAAATCCAGGAGCCTAAATAAAAGTGACCTCTAGGTTCTCAGTTCTGATTCGAGACAATGCAACAAAAGGAAAAACAAAAAGTTTCCTTCGTAAATCACACTTTCCAGTGGAGATCTCAAATTCCTCTTTTCAAGACATCATAACAGTCTTTAAGCATTGAGCCATACTAGGTTTCTCACCTCGAGGTGAAGTCTTTCTGCATTCATCAGTGCAGAGGCTTCTAAACAGTCCCCAGATATGCTGACAGGCTTCCCAGCAGGTGCAGTAACTAGGCACAGTCCTATTGGTGAGCTCTACAACACAGGGCCTTGCATTGTCCTAGAGTACAGATACCAGCTGCATCCACTGGTAGTCACAGCAAGCAACTGCAGGCACATAAACAGACTTTTCCCAAATTGCTTCCTGGAATAGGGGAATGGGTTGGAGAGCACCATGTAGGAGACCCGAGACCTGCCTTACCAACACTCTTTCCTGAAAATCAGCCAAGTGATACAGCAGACCTCATTCATGGCAGAGCTTCCTCGCACTCTGCTAAGGACCTGTCATCTCAGTGGTCAGGAATAGAGCACACCATGTAAAGAAGCTCCAAGATGTGCAGAATAATTTCAGTATAAAAACTTAATCAGACAAATATTGCCACCAAAAAACCCCCCAGGGACTCAAACTCCAACCCTTGACTTAGGCAGGGAAGCACAGTTACTAGCCGTAGAGAATGCAGCTTTCCTCAGATCCCAACAGTTTCACCAAGGTGGACAACTGGCACCTGACTAGGCTGCGAGTTCAACAGTTTCCTTGGAAACTGTGCTGGGCAGAGTGTTTTACTGCAAGGTGCTGTGCTCCTGCAGAGCAGCTTCCTGCAAGGAAAAACTTCTGCTGCTCAAAAGCTTTGGGCAGCAAGAGGGTGGAAAGTTTCCTGGTGAATCCTACTGTATACAATTAACAACAACAAAAAACCAGTAACCCACATGAAATGCAACGAGTGAAAGTGCTCACGAATGCACAGTAGACTAGTAGGAAGAGGGCAACATACATTTGATATGCAGGACTTGGAGCGTCCCATGTTAGCTACAGTTTGTCTCACTACAGTAGGCTGAAATATAAAAAAGGAGCAAAAGTGACAAAATCCTTCATTGCACCCGGTAAACAAAATTATTGCAAGTAGCCAGTTCAAGCCCTTCCCACTGCTGCAATGACAATGCAATTCAGGGCAAGGCTGCCTGCCAGCACTGGAGTGAGAAAAAGAAGTGGCTCCTGGGTGGGGTTTGGTCACTCTGCTTACACAGGAATGAGGGGGATATAAGGAAGAACCCATATGACGACTTTCATAAACAGGCCCACTTGATGCAGAAACAGCCTCAGTAAAAAAGAATCAATGTGCTTATGTGCTCTTTCAAAAGCTACTGCTGCCAGGCAGCCCTGAACTAGCCCGGAGGAACAGCGCAAGTCGCCTTGGAAAACACCAACCACTAGATATGACTACATTCAAAACAGAGACCTCCCCCCTCCACCATTATTGAGAATTAGTAAAAGGAAGCAGACCCTCTCTCTTCAGCACTACAGTAAAAAAGTATTAAAAAAATAGGCTGAGGTGACCAGCTGTGTTAAGTGTTATGGTGCAAATCAGTGCACAACTATTTGATTCCTAGCACGAGTGCACTACCGACTTGGTGGAAAGACCCGTCACAGCCAAACACAAATAGATTTCTGGGCATGGCCCTTACTGCACTGAAGAGGAGCCCTTGCCATTAAAATGTATAAGAAAACCAGCTCACTCGGGCTGCTGTGAACAGGGATGTGCCATGTGTTGCATGGGTTGGATGTTCCTCTTTATTGGGAAGAGAAGAGAGGCACTTAGGACTGCAGTAACCCTCCCTCCTCCTCTGGCAGGGGCACTGGTAACTGGGTATGCCTCTCCCACTGGTCCATTCAGGTCCTGCCCAAACCAACGAAGCCCTTCCTGGCTGGACGTTCCTGCCCAGGGGCATGACCTGCATGTAGGCCAGAGCAGATTCTCTTGCCATTTGCTCACCCTAAAGACAACAGTAAGTCAGTAACTGTCCCAACAAGCAGGCTCTGGGGAAAAAAAAAATATTCTTAAAGCCTTGCTGCCTTTTTAACAGTGATGGTGAAGGAAGCAATTTGGCAAGTGCTCCAAGAACCTGTGGCTGGTCAGGCCCAACATCTGTCTTCACAACTAGAACTCCCACACAGTTGCCCTCAAGAAACTCCCTCCAAGGGAAGGAGTTACTGGGGTGTTTGCTTTAGCCCCTACCCAGCTTCATCTGCTTGGATGCCCTGTACGTTCCCAGTCCCAACCCTGAAACCATGTTGCCAGGGTATCCTGAAGGCAGCCACTGGATGAGTGTCTTTTGCCATCAGAGGGAGAAGCCCTGTCACCACAGCTTTCACAGCTACTTGTCACCACCAGCAGTGAAGTGTGTGGCACCCCCAAGGAGAAGAGAACACACCAACTCCAGGGAGACAAAACTGACTTAAGCCTTTACTGAAGCGAGATTTGGGCTTCATTACTCTTGTTCTCTGGAGCATGTTACTGCCCGCTCAGCAAAGCAAACTGCACTAGTCAGGGGACAATTTCTTGGGAAGAGTTGCTGCAGCAGCTGCTCTGGCTCAGGAGCCTCTACTGCTGAAACACCCCTTTAGAGCCAGTAAAAGAAGCCTTGCGAATTGGAGCAACCTTCAGGTGGCTCTAATATCTGCCAGGGATAAGTCCATACTTGGGAGAGTGGCTAAGAGAAAACATAAAGCTTGAAGTCTTCTCATGCTTGAGTTGCAACTCAGCTGCAGCTCAGAAGCAGAGCAGGCTAGTGCACTTCAACAAAGGAGCTGGCTGGCGTTCTATAGAGTATGATGCTCCGCTCCACTAAAGCCTTACATGCTGTTGTGGTAAAATCCCTTCCCACAGCAAAAAGCCCATGGGAAGCAACACTCAGAAAGCAGTGGATGAGGACAATGAAGTCCATATCTAAGTGCTGGGTCATGAGAAGTGCCAAGTGCCTTCTGAGCCTTCAATTTCTGTTACAGCCTTCAGCACCTGGCAGGATGGGTCCTACGCAGGCAAATGTCTTGGGTGGTTAAAGGTGCGCTGTGCTCCACTGGTGTATTGATGCAGTCAAAAAATTAAATCAAGGAGAAGACAAACCCCAAGAGAGATGCAATCCATGCCCAGGACACCTGGAAACTACTGAGAAGCAAGTTGTGTATTCCTGCTGTCAAAAGACCTTGCTCTACAGAATGGCTACCCCTCTCTGAAAAAGCAGCAGCAACTTACACTTCTGGAACAAGGAATTTAGGTCTTGGCAGGTAGCTAGGAGTGTATGAGGGGGACCCCAGCAGGCACTACCTGAGGGACAGTGTGAAAGTGGAACAGTTTCTGTGAGCCTGTGTTATGTGCCATCACATGCATGTGTGCTTTGCTGTATGGATGTCAATGTAGCTGGTATTGAAACTGCAGCTGGTCATGTGTAAGGGCTCAGGCAGCTCAGGAGCTAGTCACTAGACCTATAAGACAGCAACTCATCTTTCCTGTAGTTTGTTTTTTGGCAACTTAATTAACAGTTTTAAAAAGCATTAAAAAAAAATCTGCAGCTACAAAAGAATCCATTTCCCTTCAGAGACTGGACAATGTTTTATTGACAAGTAAATAACCTGTGTGAAAAACTAAATAGCAGCAACCCCACTGAATTGGTGTTCTTCAACTGCAGCATCCAGCTGCAGGGGGCATTGTGACTGGCTTGGTTTGGTTATGGGATAGATCTGGGACAGTGGGATTTCATTGAACTAACTTAGTGTCATACACTTCAGTCTCTGCCCAACCTTAGTTAGGTATAAGAATGAACAAACCTGCCTGTTTCAATAGCTGGACTTCAGCACCACCATGCTGAAGTGCCCTCCCTGTGGACAATTTCTAGTCTCTCCCCTATTCTAGAGTTGGGGGGGGGTTGACAGACCCATACTTCAGTCTTGGCATACAAGCTATCTGGTACCAAACTACTCTTGACTCTTTCAGGGGCAGGACAGAGGAAGTGTTGGAAATTTCTCCACAAATTTGAAGGAGGTCATAGCACCTGCACCCAGCCACCTGTACCCCTTCCTCCAGCAACTCACAAAAACCATTTAACCCAATCCAGAACCCCCAGCCCCAAACACACCAATGAGGTTTCAGGTTAATAAGCAGTGCAGTTATTCAGCTATCTGCTCTTAAGTTCTAAGAGGTTTCAGGCAGGTCGCTCCACTTCTGGAGGTTCCCCTATTAATTTCCATGTTATCAGCACATTTCTACTTTAAGACTGGGATTGTTTTTTGCTTTGCTTTTAAGGGGTTTCCTTCCCTTGTAGTAAACTCAGGAATTAATAGAAAAAAGTAATTCAAAAGTAATCACATCTGTAAGTAATCTGCAGGAGAGAGAGCAGAGTGACTTGAGTCAGAGTTGGCACTCAGATTCCTGGCTCCTGGGCAGGCGTGCAGTCTCCAGACAGGCAGAAAGCCCTTCCGCTGAAAGCGGCTAGAAATTGGATTTGGAGTGTCCAAATACGCAGATGGGAAAGTGCTTGACATGGGAGGACCATTGCGCTGCCAGCTGAAAGAACTTCACATCGTTCCACTCGACACCATCAATCAGGACTGTGGGTGGGAAAGGATAAAAACATGGAAGTAGGTTAAAGAGCACTAAGCAGGAACCATTGCACTAGCAAATCCCTCAAGGCCAGGGCATCCTCCTGCTTCAGTTAGTACCAGGAATGGGAAAGGCAGCAAGGGAGCAGGAGAACTAGAAGAGAGACCTTATCAAATCTCATGCTTCAAGCTGCTCTGCAGCTCAGATGGGTAAGACGCCAGCACTCTGCTGGCTGCCCACCCTTGGCAATAGGATCATCATGGCAACTGACTACATGCATTATGCAAACATTCTCTTCTTGCTATCAAGCATCAAATCCAGGTCCTGGCTAAAACAAACAAGATGGACCCTTGTTCCAGAAGCAGTTACCTGTAGTTTCTATTACAGCAGTAATGGAACCTATTGATTTCACTGTCATTTGATCTCTTGTACTTTACTAACCAATTCCCAAACTTTTTTGAGCAAGGCATTATCAATATAATATTAGCTGCATGTCTTTTCCAGGTCTGGTTTTATCAGTTTGGATTTTTAACTGAGAATTTAAGGATTTTTTTTAAAAAGAAAAGAATACAGCAGACTGTGCAATTGCATTTGTTCTGGGAAGTGACAAATATCCAGTAACATTAGCAGCCTGAACTCCCCTGAGCTAGAATTAAAAGGATGAACTAAAACAGACCTCCTGACTTATCAGTTACACTTGGAATTTACAAGCAACTTGAGCCACATGGGGATGCTTGCAGCTTTTATTCTGCAGTTTCTAGTGGAGTCCCACAAGACTAACACTGTAGCCACTTTATGCTGATGAACTTTAACTTTATGCTACTTTGTAAGATGCTCACAGTCCTTGCTTCTTTCTATTAGGCACTTTGTCAGCTTTGGAGAAGCAGGGCAATCTTTAACTTTGCAAAATTCAGTACTCAAAATCCATGAGTCACTGACACCAGGTTTCATCTCCTTGGTTCTCATCAGATAGCCTGCAGTCCCTGCTTGACCTGCCTAGTTCTCAGAGTTGTGGGGCTGATGATTATTTTGTGTTGGTAGCAGGAGGCAGAGAACATAGGAAGTTTTGCCATCTCTTGCATGAGTCTGACAATAGTAGGGGTTTTGCTGAAAGACTCAGGTCCCAAACTGGCATTGCACAAACATCTTGGGTTTCATTTCAAAAGGTGCCTTGCCCTCTTGGCTGCAGAAGCAGCCATAGGAATGTGATCCCTAAGAGTTCAAAATCCAGAAAGCAAAATTGCAAGGTCTAACATCTAACCTTTAAGAGTATTGCCATTTTGAGTGCCTAACTCATGCTTTTAGAGCACTGGGGGTGGTGATGCTGCTTAGGCCACACTGCCTCCATCTTCCAGGGGAAGCCCTTGGAGCAGGCTCCAATTCGGCAACAGAGCAGACATGCACCTCTGCCCTTCACTGTTACTTCCTACCAATTCTTTGATGAAGAGATACATGACCTAAGGGGAACATGGGCTTAGTCATGCCGGGTTTGGCTGTCCTGTACCTGCTACCACCTTGCAATTTACGCCTACTTGGACAACAGTGATCATCTCTAGACCCTTTGGCCTCACAGACAGTTTCCTGAAGCAACATGTGCATAAGGAAGAGTGAAAACTTAAGAGAAGGGCACACAACTTACCACAGAGTAAGAGGGCAGTGGGGCTTTGCTGCAGATCAGCTGATTTGCAGTAGCCACTAATATACATATTGCTACCCTGCAAGAAGGTAGAAACTGACCTGCAGAGCATTAAATGGAAGAGGGATTAGCTACTGCAGGTTCGCTTTCACTTTTCGCTTTCAAGCACACAGGCACTTGTTAAGAAAGGGCTGACGTAGTGTTGCCCTCTTCCACTATGCAGGAAGCCATGTGCCTATGCCCTATGAGAAGGGAGTGGTGGGAATTAGAAAACATGGCTTTCACAAAAGGAGAGCAAGTAGCCAGCACTGCCGAGGGAGAACAGGGAGATATTGTGGATGCCTGCAGGGAAAGTCTCTTCTCAGGCCATCTGCTGTAGCCAAGCAGATCCAAGGTGTCTGCAGGGCCTCTTCGGCACATGAGCAGGTACAATCAGTAGCAGTCTGGGTGAGAATATAAATCTCAAGGACTCTTCTGTCAACAACAAGCCAGTCACCAGAAGCCTATCCCTCTTCCCTACACACCTTTAAGGCTTTCTTCTGCAGTTGTGACTTGGGTAAGTAGAGAGGGCTCAAACTAGACTTCTGGTCTACCCTGGGAGCCATGAGGGAAGCCTGGTAGACCAGAATCTCCTGAAGGCTTTCACAAGCTGGTCTAAGGGACCCTCATATCTAGCAAGGAGGATGGGTGAAGTTGTGATGGGCTTTGGTTGGCCTGGGCTCAAGGACTGGTACAGCCTCACTGCTGGATGCAGAAGCTGGAACTGCTCATAGAAAAAAAAACTTGCAGATTTGCCAGCACTTGAGCAGAGCCAACGGTAGCATCAGCCTCCAAGCCTCCATTTTCCAGCTACAAAGCTTAAAGCTATGATGCACCTGATGTGCTGGCATCCTGATGCAGGCTGTTCCCAGCCTGGCTTCCATTATGGCTCTGAACAATGATTTTCAACCTTTTCCAAGCTGTAACCCCATGTTGCTAAGAGTTTCAGAACATCCCTCCACCCAGCCATGAAGGAAAAGGGTTGTGTGCATCTGAGCCTGCTGGCAGTCCCTAAATTGAGAACCCAGTTTTAGAGTAACCTCAAGGTTAGTTTAAACCAGGACACAACCTGTAGCACCTGTTCCACAAGTGGCATGGGCAGCTGCTGTGTGGCACTAGCCCTGGGTGCTCAGTAAAGGGAGGCACCAGAATGGAAGGAGGGAGGGGCAGGCAAGGGGCTGGAGCCTCTGGCCACACAGAATAAAGTGGGGTACAAGGAGTCATCACTGAAGTCAGGTTAACCCTTTACTGGCCCCGCAGTCACTACCAAATTCAGGGCTTTGGACCCTCACTCATATAAAACTGCAGTGTTTTCTCTTGCAGCAGCATCCTGCCTGGACTCGGCTCCACACAGTGGAAGACCCAAGCTTCCCTGCCTCTGTTCTAGTGCCCCAGGGCACAAACTGTCAGGTACACTTCTGGGAAGCAGGGGTCAGAGTGGCACTGGGGAAGGGCATGAGGGGGTGCAGGGCAGGGCTTAAATTTGCAGGATACTTGTGGAAACAGCTGGCCACCACCGCTTTAAACCATGCCTAGAGGCTGTTTCAGCATCCAGAAAAATCACTAAGGAAACTACCACATACCGTTTCCACTACAAATGACCCCATGATGGCTCTATGCCACCTGTGGATTTCCTTGCATCTGAAGACTCTTGCTCCAGCCAGATCCAGGTCTACTTTGTGCCACAGACCAGCATAACATCAGATTCGCCAACAGGCAGCGGGACTGGGGGTTGGCTCAATATCAGCAAACCCACCTGTTACCAATAAAACACTCACCCTGAAATGAAAAAATAGTTTGCTTACCTCGCAGCATATTCTGCTGATGTTTTGCTGTGCAAATCAACCTACTAATTCCTTCAATGCATTGACTCTTGGATTCAATCTCCTTGTCTTTTGTTTTCTTGGGCAAAAACATCACTAGAAGAAAAAATTTTAAAAAAATTAATAAATCAAACAAACTTAGTTTTTGCCAGCTAGAAAGTAACACTGGAGCAAATGGTTTTTACAAATCTATTACTGAAGCATAAATTTTCTACAAACTGGTCCTCATCAGTTTGGGCTTTCTAAAAAAACCTAATTCTTACTGCCTCAATGCAGATCACACGACCTCAGTCTTCACCACCATTGCTATGTTAGCTTGCTTTAACCTCAGGCAAAACTGCCCTGCTGGGATACAGACACACATATTCCATTCCAGCCCCTCTCTGGCTCAAATACAGCATACTCTGCATGGCCTTGGGACTAAAGAAAAAGCCCTTATCAGGAATTAATACGCAACAATGCTTATTAACTACAAGTACAGCCCGGGCTAAGCCTCTTACCTTGTTTCTCAGAGGATCTTAGGCCTCTAGTAGCAGTCTTGAAATTGATAGGACCCAGTGAGATCAAGGCTGCTTCGGAAAGCCTTCATATAGAGGACTCAGAGCCCATTTCATCAGTTATACAGTTAAAACAACCTACAGTTCTGTTGCAAAAGTAAAAAGAGTAGGGCTAAAAGGGAACTGGCTCTGGGGTTGACCCAAAGAGTACTGGTTGATGGGAGCAAATCAACATGTCACGAGGTGACCAGCGATGTCTCTCAGGGCTCAGTACTCAGGCCAGTACTCTTCAACATTTTCATTAATGATCTGGATTTGGGCATCAGATGCAGACTGCCAAAGTTTGCGGATGACACTGAACTACGGGGGAAGGCGGTTGCACTGGAGAACAGGTTGGGGATACAGGCTGACCTGGACAGGCTTGCAAGGTAGGTGGACCAAAACCTGATGGCATTTCACGCAGAGAAGTGCAGGGTACTCCACCTCGGGAGGAAAAGCCAGCATCATACGTATAGGCTTGGCAGTGTTACACTTGCTAGTACTATGACTGAAAGAGACTTGGGGGTCTCGATTGACCACAAGATGAACATACACCATCCAAGCAATGCTGTGGCCAGCAAAGCAAACCAGACTCTGGTATGGATCCACTGATCCATCTCAAGCAAAACCAGGGATGTTATCCTCCTGCTCTACTCGGCCTTAGTGAGGCTGCAGCTGGAGTACTGCATCCAGTTTTGGGGACCCCCACTTCAGGAGGGATGAGGATAAGCTTGAGAGTCCAGAGGAGAGCCACCTGCATGATCAAAGACCAACAGAGTAAGCCTTGAGGAGAGGCTCAGGGACATGGGACTTCAGCCTGAAGAGAAGGCTCAAGGGACACTTGGTGGCAGCCTATAAGTACATAAGGGGGGGGTGCACCAGGAGCTGGGAGAACACTTATTTACCAGGGCTCCCCATGGGATAACAAGGTCTAACAGCCCCAAATTTCTGGAAGGCCAATTTAGACTGGACATGAGGAAAAACTTCTTTATGGTCTAAGCATCCAGGGTCTGGAACAGACTCCCCCCAGAGGTGCTGCAAGCACCTACTCTGGACTCATTCAAATGGCATTTGGATGCTTATCTTGCAGGTGTCACTTGACCCCAGCAGACTTCCTGCCTATGGCAGGGGGGCTGGACTTGATCTTGGGAGGTCCCTTCCAGCCCCTAATGTCTATGAATCTATGAGTGATGCTCAACTAGGGTGCCATGGCACCCAGGGGTGCCTTGAGACCCCTTCATGGCACCCCTGGGTGCGCAATGTTAGGTGCAACTTGCAAGATAAACCCAGAGATTTCAAATAGGAATCTATAGTGTTAAAAGCATTCTGCCTTGTGGTAGAAAGATCCAAGTTCTTTGCCAACAAAAGAATTACTTGTTTCTAGTCAAAAAGGATGAAAACTAGGAGTTGGCATTTTCCAAGGGATGCCTTGAGTTTAACAAAGGCAAAGACCACCTGAATAAAGTCATTCTATGCACGGAAGCCAGTGTTTGTTATAATGCAAGCAACAGGGGAAAACGAGACCAGCTTATAGTTAAATGAATTATGCATTTATCTGATCTTCATCCAAGCGGAGTTCACTGTATTCTAAAACTTACCATACCACCTAGGGGAGATTCTTGCTTACTGCAAGTCGTTTTCTAGAGCACCCTTCCCCTGAGATTGTAGCCTCACTTTCATTCACATCGTAAATCTAAGGGTGTACATAGCCACAAAAACACAAGGCCAACAGTTCAAAGAACATCAGCTCCATGTGCAGAGCTCAGAGGGACAGGTGAATGCTCCTGAAAACAGGAAAAGGGGCAGGGAGGGGAAACAAAAGAGCTCTTAAAAAAAAAGAAGTCCAGAGCTTTCAGGATCAATTTGAGTTTGAGCTACATTGCACTAGGCAGTTCTAGGAAACCTGAACATGACTAAGTCCAGTCTGGGAAAATTTCATACTTGAACTATTAGATACAGCCTGGCTTCCCATTTCCCAGAATAAAACATACCACATCACTCAATACCACAAACTAGAAGAGACAGACAGTGTTCACTGCTGATGTGGAGTTGGCACCTCCAACAGACTCACCAGCAGCAGCTTTACAATCTTATCACACACAATCCTCAGCTTGGGGGTATTGCTGGGTCATACATCCTCAGGTACCCGAGTACTGTCAGTAAGTGCTGGGTGCCACTTTCTGGCTGCCATTTGCAAACAGACACTCTGGATGCAATAATTAATCAGGTATGACAATTGAGGTTACAAGGGGACAGGACAACACTGAGTCAAATGCATCGGCTGAAAAACCGCCTCTGTGAATCTCTACTGCTGCAAACTGAAATAATAATAAACTGGGCAGCTCAGTCCCATGCTTCCTGCCTCAAGTCCCTTCTAGTCCTACTTCTCTATGATATATCCCTTAAGACTTTATGCCTCAAGCCAAATTCCAAAATAGGTCCAAACTCCAAAGCTTTCCACATACATTTTTAGTGCCTGCTTTTGAAAGCCTTGGGCAGCAAGCTAAAGAACTGGTCCAGCCTCACAAAAAACCTTATGCTGCCCATGTGCAAACTGCTCTCTGTAAGGTTTAAGTTGTAGAAGAGTCTGCTTATGGAATCCTGTAGGAAACAGCATGTCAGCAGACAGGGCTAGATGTTTTTATGGAATCTAAAACAGTTATTTAAAAAGAAATAGGAGGAATACACGTCCTCGCTAATTAATAAAGAGTCAG